AAACATTCTGAAGGTCCTTGAACTATTCATCTGCATCATATCATCCTGTTGGGAAAACTACCCAAATCTAGGCTAGAAATCCTGAACTCACCTGCTCCAGCTGTTGCCGTAGCTCCTGCAGCTGGTAAACGTCCTCCTCCATGTACATGTCCCTCATCTCCAGCATCTCAGACCTCAGCTCCTCCATCTCGTCCTGGAGACGGCAAAGGAAAGACAGTTAATAAGTGCACCTGTCGTTTCAACATGAAATATTACGAGCCGAGCATTCCTCCATTAAAACAACCTGAGGAGAAAGAGCGTTTACAGAGACTTCATCTCCCTTTAAGTGACTGTAAAGAGCCGACAGCATGACATGCACATAAAGGGAATCCTTTAAGCAGTAATAGGAGCCATTACACCTTCCAGCATATTTGTCATAAATGAAATGCAATCATCGTTGTCATCAAAAAATCATCCCATTAACCTTGTTCTGATCTTAATCTGCTCCATCACTCAGTGTCATTAGCCACCGCGTCTTTATCATCCTCATTATTGCGTAATAATTAGTGTCTTCTTCTTAAAAATGGACTTCTGGGTGATATTATCTCACATTAGATAAAAGGGGGCAGAGCACAGGGTGGGATGGTAACTGGGGCCTCGAGCTGGAGGCAAAAGTTTCCAATGACTCTGAACTGGAGAATTTTCTAAGATGGAATCAATGAAACACATGAAAAAACAATCCTGCATTCAGCTTTATTCATAGATTTATTGGAGGTGTTTTGGAAATAAGACATTTGCTGAATCCAAAATATACATATAGAAATGCTAATATTTGAGTAAATGTCACTTTTGGTTTCCGTCCAGAAGCTTCTGGTTGTATCTTTGACCCTCCTCTTGACAGAACTGGTGCTGTTCAACTAAATTTGTTATCGTTCTGACACAGTCCACAGGTTCTTGATGGAATTTAATTCAGGACTTTCAGGTAAGCCAGTCTACAACCTTCATTCTAGCCTCATTTCACCATTTTTTACCACTTTTGATGTACATTTGGGGTCCTTGTCTAGTTGGAACACCCAACTGCATCCATACCCAACCTCCTGGCTGATGATTTTAGGTTTTCTTGAAGAATATGAAAGTAATCCTCCTCCTTCATCATTCCATTTAGGTAATGCACCAAAACAGCCCCAGAGCATGATGCTGCCACCTCCATGCCTGATGGTGGGTTTGGTGTTCTTGGTATCAAAGGCCTCACCTTCTCTCCTTCAAACTGCTCATTGTGGCCAAATAGCTAAACTGTTGTGTCATCTAATCACAGAACTTTCCTCCAGGAGATCTTGTCTTTGTCCATGTGATCAGCAGCAGACGTCAGTGGAGCTTTAAGGTTCTGCTTCCAGAGGAAGAGCTTCCTTGTTGCACAGCAGCTTCCACTGACATCTGTGTTGCAGCAGCTTCTACTTCATTACCGACCTGCTGTTTAGTGATTCCTGGTTGACTCTCGACCATCCTGACCAACTGTCTCTCAGCAGCAGATGATAGTTTTCTTCCTGATCGTGGCGGCGACACAACTATGAACTTCACACTTACAAAGATCGTTTGCACAGATTTTGGGATCTGTAACTGCTTTGAAACGGCACCAAGCAACTTTTCTGACATGTTCAAGTCAATGATTTGCTTTTTGTAGATCTTTGCTGAGCTCCTCAGACTTTCCCACTGTGGTGTTTGTGTCTAGTCAGTGAATCAAATGGGTCCTATTTAAATTAGTTTAGAGAAGTCAGCTGCTGTAGTCGACCGTAATCACTCACGAGACGTTAAGAGGCCATGAAACTAAGGAAATTCGATTAACACAACTTCCTAAATCACTGAAACTGTTTCAGGTCATGTTTTAAGTTGCTGTGTGAACGTTTTTGAGCTCAGCAACTTTGACATATTTCCAGAAGACCTAAAATAAATCTGTGAAAGAACTAAAATGCAGGATTGTATTTGGGTCAAAGACTCATGTTTTCAATAATTCCATCACAGAAAATTAAGAGCTGTATGAGTCATTGGAAACTTAAGACTTCCATTAAGTAAACTTTAGATCACAGCTTCATCTTATGGGAAACTCGAAACAGTCCCAGCAGGTAAATGCAGCAGCCGCAAACATTTAAACCACCTATCCATTATCTATACACCGCTTCATCCTTAATCCTCACTGGGGTTGCGGGGGGCTGGACAGCTGACTCAGGGTGAAGGCAGGAGACACCCTGGACAGGTCACCAGTCTATCACAGGGCCACACTTAGAGACAGACAACCAAGCACACTCACAGTCNAATGCTTTTTGATTTCTAGGACTTGTAGGAGGAGGTTGGATCAGCTCATTAAACAGCTGCCAGCTGCTTTCTAATTGTTGGTGTTTCTGTTTTAGCATTAAAGACAACAAATCTGATTGTAGACACTCAAGTAACGCCGCTGAGGAGACGCCCTCATTACGCTGCTCGCTTTTACTTATTTAGACTGAACCAGACAACACGACAGCATCTAGAGCAACGTAGTCTTCCACGCCAGTTCTCACTTTCATACAAACATTAGTCGCCTCTTCAGCGTCCTCATTCCAGCTTCGTATCTCGCTCATCAGAAAAGTGAGGCAGAATAAAGAGCAGCAGTTCTTCCTTGAACCAAACTACATGTTTAAACATCAACGAATCCGCTCAGAGTCGCACCACAACACAAACACATCATGCGACAACTTGTTTTGCTGCTCGACACAGAAAGGAAACTTGGACAATTCTGTTTTTTCTCATGACTAATCAGCAACAGAAGTCTTTCTGACAGAACATCATTTACTCTATTTTAACATTTGTCAGACACACAGAGTTTGTTGACGTGCAAACTTCACACGCTCGCAGCAAAATGAGCAAAAAACTGAAGGAAAAACACCAAAAAGGACGACTCGGTTACTTGTATGTATATTTGGGCTACAGAAAATATGATGTTGACCACAAACGGGTTCTGTGTCGACCATCGTTGGCTCTAAACGAATCAACACGACAAATTTGTTTTGCCATTCAAATCAGCACCACAAAGCTCCATCTGCAAAGTTGAACGCCACATCTGGATGTAATAAAAAAAGGTTCCAACATGTTTTGGAGTTTTTTTAGCATATTTGATGTAAGTTACCTCCCCTACAATCACTCTCGATTACGATGTTGGTCAAGTCATCCGGTGAAAACTCGTTTTCGTATCGCAGAAAACCAAAACATCGCGGTGTCATTTGAGAATTAGCTGTTCTGTGTACGTCATATGCTTTATCTTCCACCTGGCCGCAGCTAATCTCCCGATCACTCACTTTGACGTCTTGCTCCAGCGTCCGGATCAGCTCTCCGTCCACCTGCCCCGTCTGGGCCACTCGGAGAGAGCGCCGCTCTGCCTTCCTCAGCCGGTACTGCAGGATGCGGCAGGTCTTGTTGGCCTGAAGGAACAGAAAGCGTGTCAGCAGATGACGTCCTTGTTGCTTCCTCTGGCTTTATTGGGCCTCGCAGCAGCGATTAAACCGCAGCAGATGACATAAAACACATAAAACAGCAGGGAGGGCACTCGTTGGCAGGGCCCGGGTCATTTTGCAGAACCTCTGGATCACACATGACACTCAGATGTTTGATGACCTAAACTGGCCGGTTTCAGGTGTTTAACCCTCTGAACCCCAAAAACCTGCTGCAGACTTATATGTTATCTAAGTGACAGTTTTTATCAGAGCTGGAAACTATAAAACCAGAAAGAATATTCAGAATTTAAACATTCTGAAGGTCCTTGAACTATTCATCTGCATCATATCATCCTGTTGGGAAAACTACCCAAATCTAGGCTAGAAATCCTGAACTCACCTGCTCCAGCTGTTGCCGTAGCTCCTGCAGCTGGTAAACGTCCTCCTCCATGTACATGTCCCTCATCTCCAGCATCTCAGACCTCAGCTCCTCCATCTCGTCCTGGAGACGGCAAAGGAAAGACAGTTAATAAGTGCACCTGTCGTTTCAACATGAAATATTACGAGCCGAGCATTCCTCCATTAAAACAACCTGAGGAGAAAGAGCGTTTACAGAGACTTCATCTCCCTTTAAGTGACTGTAAAGAGCCGACAGCATGACATGCACATAAAGGGAATCCTTTAAGCAGTAATAGGAGCCATTACACCTTCCAGCATATTTGTCATAAATGAAATGCAATCATCGTTGTCATCAAAAAATCATCCCATTAACCTTGTTCTGATCTTAATCTGCTCCATCACTCAGTGTCATTAGCCACCGCGTCTTTATCATCCTCATTATTGCGTAATAATTAGTGTCTTCTTCTTAAAAATGGACTTCTGGGTGATATTATCTCACATTAGATAAAAGGGGGCAGAGCACAGGGTGGGATGGTAACTGGGGCCTCNTTTTTTTTGCTTTTAAAGCGACATTTAATTTAAAGTGACTTTTTTCTTTTTCCTTTGCTTTTAAATGCTTTAAATGCTTAAAAATTAAATGTCGCTTTAAAAGCAAAAAAGAAAGAAAAAAGAAAAATGATTTTAAAAATAACTTTAAAAAATAATTTTAAAAAATGAAAAAAATGACAAAAAAATAAAAATGTAAAAATAAAAAATAACGTTAAATGAATTATTATTATATTTAATCTCCTTTTGTCCACTTTTTTTTTCTAAATTACTATTTTTTATTGATTTATTGTTGTAATGTGGCACTCTCACTACTCCATACAGAGAAACAAAGAAATAAAGAAATCAACAGCTGCTATTTGACATTCTGACTTGTAGGTTAAGTTTATTTATTTGGCACTTTTTACTGCACAAAGTCACAAAATCAACACAAGACCATAAAAAAAAAAAAGACAATAACAGAGGAAACATAAAGACAAAGCACCAGTAGATGACAGGAATAAAAGCAAAAAAGTGGAATTTATGACATTAGTAGTGTCACAGTGTAGTGACTCAGCAGAACTTCCTCATCACTAGTTTGATCTATAGATGTACAGACTCATACACGTGTGCTTTTCCTGCTATAAAAAGTCCTGAAACTGGACCTGCTGAATGAGATTCACCTTTATTTTTCTATCTATAGATGCTTTCACTGCTGTTAATTCCAGACATTATGTTCTGCACATTGTAATTCGATCCTCTTCAATGAAATTTGGAGCAGCAGACTGAATCTCTGAATCATTAATGAGCGTAGCGACTGTTGTTGGTGGTAAAGAAAAAAAAAAAAGCTCATTGAATATTTAAACTGAACACAAACAGCGTTGGCATTTACAGTCAGTCAGCGTGTCGGCCTCCTGCCCCGCTTCCCCTGAACGCCTCGTACCAAACGCTGCTGAAGTTCTGCTGCTGCTGAAACCGTCCCTGAAGCAGGATGAACGCTGGTGAAACTGTTAAATGTCAAGTGACAGTGATTATGTCCACTGTCTCTACACGTTATGAGCAACACACATTAGTACGTGAACATTTTTACTTCATGTATGTGTAGCCGTGCAAACGCTCATTTATTTAGTGTTAGCATTAGTACAGTCGTCCTCAAATGTATTCATACTCTTTCATTAAAGAAAAAGCACAACAGTCACTCAAATAACTAGAAACTGAAAAAGTAATAATAAATAAAAATTTGCAAAATTATAATTTAGTGAAATAAGACATTACTTTTAAATTGTGGTTGGAAAGAATATTTTTTTAAAAACAAAGAAGTCTGACTGAGAGTTACAGAAAACACTTAATTGCAGTGATTGGCTCAAAGGGTTGTTCAACTAAATATTAGTTCACGGGTTCCATCATGCCTTTTTTTATTTTTATTTTTAAATATTTCTGTTGAATCACAATTCAAAAGCAATGTCATGATTTTCATTAAATTTTTATTTATTGTTATTTTTGTCAATTTCAACTTATTTCAGCTGTTTTTTTTCCTTCTTTAATGGGAGGATATGAATACATTTGAGGACGACTGTATTAGCTAAATGACTTCTGGTTTGCGATGTTTGTCCAGAGATCATTTACAAAACAGCAAAGCAAAAGGCGGATATTTGATTCTAAAGTGAAACTGCAAAGTTTGTGAATGAATTGACTGCAAATAACAGNAGTGGTAGTTCTAGTGGTAGTTCTAGTAGTGGTAGTTCTAGTAGTGGTAGTAGTATTTCTAGTAGTAGTAGTGGTAGTTCTAGTAGTGGTAGTAGTAATTCTAGTAGTAGTAGTGGTAGTTCTAGTAATAGTAGTAGTAGTTCTAGTAGTGGTAGGTCTAGTAATAGTAGTAGTAGTTCTAGTAGTGATAGTTCTAGTAGTAATAGTTCTAGTAGTAGTAGTAGTAGAAGTTCTAGTAGTAGCAGTAGTTCTAGTAGTGGTAGTTCTAGTAGTGGTCGTTCTAGTAGTAGTAGTTCTAGTAGTGGTAGTTCTAGTAGTAGTAGTTCTAGTAGTAGTGGTAGTAGTTCTAGTAGTAGTAGTTCTGGCCTGACCATGTTTGGTTCTGACTCTGGCCACCAGCAGGAGGTCGAGCAATAGTGGTAGTAGTTCTAGTAGTAGATCTAGTAATAGTAGTTCTAGTAGTAGTTCTAGTGGTAGTTCTAGTATTAGTGGTAGTATTTCTAGTGGTAGTTCTAGTCGTAGTTCTAGCAGTAGTGGTAGTTCTAGTAGTAGTAGTAGTTCTAGTAGTCATAGGTCTAGTAGTAGTTCAAGTAGTAGTAGTAGCACTTCTAGTATTAGTGGTAGTAGGTCTAGTAGTAGTAGTATTAGTTCTAGTAGTGGTAGTTCTAGTAGGCGTATCAGTGGACATAATGGAAGCATGTGGAGATTGAACAAGAGGGGACCCAGGATCGAACCCTGAGGAACCCCACAGGTCACGGCCATTCGGTCTGAGACACAGTTAGACTGTTTTTCTGGGACCCTTGCTGCCAGATTTTAACATTTTTTGAAGCAGATTTTTATTTTATTTTATTTTATTTTATTTTACAGTGTACTCTAGTCACTTGCCCATCACTTTTTATTTAATTTATTTTAATTTTATTTTACAGTGTATTCTATGCACTTGCTCGTCACTTTTTATTTAATTTATTTTAATGTTATTTTACAGTGTATTCTATGCACTTGCTCATCACTTTTTATTTAATTTATTTTAATTTAATTTTATTTATTTATTTATTTATTTTTTTTACAGCATTCTATTCACTTGCTCATCACTTTTTTTTTTGTTTTTACAATTTTCTGGCCATGATGTTAAATCAGAATAAGGATCCTGATGTGTTGCCTCTGAGCTCATGCAGGACTTAAATCGTTATATCTTTCCTCACATCACAGCCGTGCTGAACATCTGGCAGACGTTTTGAACTGTACGCAGCAGGAAACATGCGTATTAATGATGAATCAGTTCCATTAAGTGTCCCAGGAAGCCACAACAGTCAAACCAGTATGTTGAGAAGCAGCATTTCCCCAAAGTGGATCTCGGCCATCATTAATACATCTGCTGCTCCTCAGGACGTCTGCTGTGTGCTGGCATGTAAATCATATTAGGTAACAGGCTACACCCTGCATCTTCTTTCATAATCCTTCTTTTTTCTGTTGAAAACACTGATTCACTGAACAAATATGTTCGAATCTGTCTGGCAACGCTTTCATAGGAAAATCCTGTGAGTAAGAAGCTTTTGTGCGGTGGTTGGAGAAGCAAGCCGTGGCAGGAAAGAGAAGANAGTGAGTAAAAACAGAGACACTGGGTCCAGAGGGTTAACTCCACTAGACCGTACTTTGTTTAGCTGCACTACTAAAGTAACTCTGTGTGTAAAATACTAGCAGTGAGTCGTCTGAAACAGTTCAAGTCCAGACAAGCTGCACAGAAGCTCATCTATTAGCTTAAAGTCTAGTCACCGGACAGACATTACGCCCCGACAGTCGGATCTTTGTGTCCGGTTCAGCAGCACCACGAGGCCAGCAGTCCAGCTTTACTCATTGTTTAATACATTTAAATGTTAAATGTGGATTTGAGAGATGATTTGATTAACTGTTGAACTCTAACAAGGAGCGTGGGTTCGACAACAACAACGCTCTGGGACGTAGGTGGCGGCTTTGATTGCGTCCGTCCTGCAGCGGCTCGAACAGATTTGAAGAGCAGCAGCACACGGAGGTATAAAGTCATAATTAATGAGATTCCAGCAGCTGCTCGCTGTCTTGATCTTCCTCAGTAATTACCAACTGAATGGGACTCTGCAGCAGAAGCAGAGTCTGCATATTATTAACATGCAGAATGTGAAGCCGCCATGGAAGACGGACGGGCATCAAGGAAGAAGAAGAAGAAGAAGTGAGGGTTTCTGGGTGGAAACTGAAGAGCGAGGAGGGTCCGACGCCTCCTTGTTTTGATCCTCTGATTGCTAACCAGGTGTTCGTCACAGCTGCAACAACACCGACAGACAGAGCAGGAACTCCCAGGAGGTCCAGGGAGAAGCTCTGCAACAAACACGACGTCCTGCATCCAGCAGCACTGAGCAAACGTGAGCTTTAGAAACAACAAGGCAGGAGCGTGTTGTTGTGACAAAGCAGAACATGTGATCAGGTTCAGGGCTGCAGCTAATTCAGGATTCCAGCACTGGCTGCAAAATGAGAAAAACCCTCGATATGAAACAGAGGAAGACGCAGACGTACACTAACAACGATGGAAACAGCACATATTTGCTTGACGAATTGAATAAAAGCAATGAATCAGCGGTTTCTTTAACACTAATCAGGGTTAAATAAAGCAACTAGAGCTGCAACGATTCATCGATTAGTTGATTAACCGCCAACTATTTAACAATTATCTGACTCCAGCTTCCTAAAATCGAATATTTCCTGTTTTCTTTCCTCCTCTGTGACACTAAACTGAATCTCTTTGGGTTTTTGGACAAAACAAGACATTTTGGGAAACACTAATCATCATGTTTTATCATTTTCTGCCAGTTTATAGATGAAAATCATCAGCCCTGAAAGCAGGACTCACGATGAAAGATGAGCAAGAATCAAAACTGCCCCGGTAGAAGACGGGGTGGTCCCTCTGCTTAGGCAGGTGCCGCCGATCAATCACCATCCCTAATCAATGCCTGACAATTATTGGCTTGTCTGGTCGCTGCCGGTTAGTGCTCAGAGACGTGCTCCCCTAATTGATCCTTCCCTTAATCAATCAATCACTCCCAGGGCCGGACGGATGTGATTGACCCGGAGGGGGGATCCTGGATATCAGGCTTCAGCGCCTGCAGACACGCCGGAGAGACGCCTTCAGCGAGGTTATTGAGCTGAACGTGGACGCAGGAATTTGGAGTTTAGAATCCATACTTCAGGTTAAACCGATCAAACGCCTTGAGGATGATTCTACTGCCTTCCACCATGTTGTGGAGCTGCTATCTGAAGCGTTTCACACCTTCACCTTCCACGTTTTTCCTCAGCAAATGTGAAATTCTGCGGCTGCCAGGCACAATGTTTTGCTCGTGTGCTGCCATGAGTGCAGGATTCTCTATTTATAACAGCGTCAGCGTGGTAGTGAGCAGCCTTGGGAGGCATCCAAAGGAATCTCTGCACACTGAGTGAACCGGTGAGGGTGGAAAAAAGAGCTGAGTGGAAGTGTGAGATTGTGACAGATCAGACAGGATGTGTGGGTTTTTTACATCTTGGGTAGAGACTGCAAAACTGGAAACATGTCTGCAGATTGTCAACCATCCAGGAGCTTCAGTAAGGAGCAAGTGGACTTCTCCTCTAGTTGCTTTTTGGATTAGATGTGCAGTGCTGGTGGGTTCTGGGTCATCCTGGTCCTGGTAGCTTCACTAAAAACCTACAAGAGAAGCTGCTTTCTGGGATTCAAACAGGACTATGAGCTTGTTTATGCGGTTTCTCTGCAGAACCAAACCCATTCAAACGTGCACTTACTTTGAGGTAATCGTTCTCGGACCTCAGCTCCTCGATCTCTCGGACGAACTCCTCCTGCATGCCGTCCATAAACTCCTCTGTGAGGTCTGAGAACGCCAGAGACGTGCTGGCGGGCACCCTGCTGTCAAACGACGTGACCGAGCGCTCCTCCCCGGGCGAAATGCTGCCCTCCCCGGTGTCCATGCCCAGGGAGAGCCGGTCCTTCTCTGCGCTCCTGGCGGCGGCGGCGGCCGGCTGGCTCGCTCTGTCCGCGGAGGATCCGTCCCTGATCGGCGGCTTCTCCGCGTCCAGCCCGCCGCCTCTGCTGCTCCTCGACTCGGCGTCGCTGCTCGCTGCGTCCGCGGAGAGTTTGTTCTCCTCCGAGGCGCAGTCGGACAGCTCGGAGCTGCTGTCGGTGGGGGAGAGCTTCCCCGGGGCGCATCCGGAGTCTTTGGATAAATCGTCGGATCCGATGCTGGCGTCCGACACCTTCCTCCTCCCGCCGGTGCTCTTGGCCGCCTTGGAGGTTTTGGACAACAGCCCCCCGGAGATGGAGGATTTACCCGCCGGTTTGCCGCCTCCACATTTCTCCGCCTTGCCGTCCTTCCCTGCCAGGCTCCCCACGGGGCTGCGCCTGGAGATGCGGCTGCCCAGATGGATGGACCCCGGCTTGACGCTCAGGGTCGGGGTCCCGATCCCGCCGCGGATCTTGGTGAGCGACCAGCCGGGCACATCCTTGGGTCTGGCCGGGGACGGGGCCCGGTTTATCTTCTTCTTCTCCCCGGGAGGCTGAGCGGACAGCCCCGCAGGGAGCTCCGCGGGTTCGGGCCGGGAGTTCTGCTGCTGCTCCGAGCTCTCCGTCCCGCCTCCGCTTTCCATCTTGTGCCGGAGATGGAGTCTCCGTTCCTTGGGCGAGGCGAAGCAGAGGTGAGTCGGAGAGTTGTGGACATCAACCTCCTTTGTTTTTGTCATTCATTCCGTTTGGACCGCGACGAGGAAAACAGAAACCGAACCTCCTGTTCGCCCGAAACGAGGAGGAAAGAAGTTGGAGCGTAAAAAAAACACAGCTGCAGACAAAAGGAGGAGATGAATCCGGACACAAGGAGGGCTGGTGGCGCAACAGGACGAAGCCGGAGTCCGAAAAACTGCAAATCAGAAGCCGAGTATCCGCTAATTTCCCACCGAGCGATGCGTAAATGCGCAAATTAGTCCGCTTTGTTGTGCAGATCCGCTCCGGCCGCGTTGGAACAAACGAGCCGGTTCCTGCTCAGATGGATTGTGGGTGAAACAGGGAGGCAGTGGGTCGGTCTCTCTCTCTCTCTCTCTCTCTCTCTCTCTCTCTCTCTCTCTCTCTCTCTCTCCGCCCAGAAAACGAGGAGTTCGGAGGAAACAGAACCTGGATCCTGCGGCTCTCTGCCGCCTCCAGTGGACGAAGGTGGAACCACAGCTGGTGGTGGAGCAGCTCAGGAATAAAAGAGAAAGTTCAGTTTTTAAAAACAGTTTAATTTAAAATAGGTTCACTTTTATATATCCTCCAATGAGTTCACATAAAGTAGAATACTGCAAGAGTTGTTTTTGTTGTATTAATGTTGTTTGTTTGTTTTATTTAAAATAAATAAATAAACACAACAACTCCAGAAGAAATAATAAAATAGTGCATCCAGTTAAAGGAAAAGAACAAGTGGAATAAAAGAAAACACAGGATCAAACCATTAACACAAGGATAAAAAATAATAACTACAGCAGTCATAGCAAATAAAATAAATAAAGTTGTGAAAAAAATCAATGAGATGATAAAATAAATGTATGTATATGAATAATAAATGATAATTGATATGATTGTAAATAGTTTAATACAAATAAATCTGTAAATAAATTTTAAAAATCACTTCTAAAAGAGAATAAAATGAACAATGAAATAAATAAAGTGAAAAAAAAACAACTAGACAATAAAGATATGATATAATAATTTAGGTAAATTTGGCTTTTAGGTTCATGAAAATCAGATTAGTTTAACGATCGTTTCTTCCTGATGAGTATCAATCATGTTTTTATCTGTACATATGAAGGTGAACTTTATTATATCTTTACATTCAGATTATTGTTGTTGCAACGAGTACAATGAAAAGTAATGTGCAGGCCTTTCAGTGCAAAGACAAAATATAGAAAACTATATACGACATAATTTACAAATTATATATATTTATAAAAGAAAACTCTTTATATAAAGATGAAATTAAATAATCAGCCTGAACACAGTGTATGCTGCACAGAGGTATATTTACAATATATTGCACTTATTATGAGGCGTTTATGGTTCTGACAGCAGTTGGACAGAAGCTGTGTTTCAGTCTGTTGGTTCTGGTTCTGATGGTCCTGTACCGTCTGCAGTAGCTCGAACAGGAAGTGACCCAGGTGGTAGGAGTCCTTCAGGATGGTGTCGACTCTCCTGAAGGTCCCCCAGTGTGGGTGGAGGGCACCCAGTGACCTTCTCAGCCATTTTGGTGACCCTCTGGAGCCCATCATGCAGCTGGCAAACCAGAGGCAGCAGGTGAGGATGCTCTCCATGGTGGAGCGGTAAAGACACGAGCAGTCTCTGGCTGATGTTCCTGAGGATTCTCAGGAAGTCTTCTTTGTCCCTTCTTTACCAGCTGTGTGTTGTTCTTATTCCAGGTCAGTTTCTCCTCAGCGTGAACTCCCAGGAAGCAGAAGTCGCTGACCCTTTCCACACCGATGAGAATGGGCTGAGTGTCCGTCTATGATGAGCTCCTCTGTCTCTGATGCGTTCAGGAGCAGGTGATTGTCTCCACACCACACAGTCAGCTGTCGCACCTCATGCCGGTGATGCAACCTACCGCCGTGGTGTCATCCACATGCTTGATGAAGGTGTTGCTGGTGTGGGTGGGGGTGCAGTCTGAGGTGTAGAGGGTGAAGAGCAGCTTTTTATATTCGTTGCTTTAATCGACTGTATTCAACAACCACGGTAACTGTAGTCACCTGGAAAGTACAACAATTTTTTTCTTTTAAAATGAATAAACTCAGGTGTGATTTCCAGATTTTCACCACAAATATAAATATTTCTTTATTCTTTATGATCCAGAATTGAGATCTGGCAGCTCTGTTTGACATTTAAAAATGCACAAACACTTCAAACAATAGAGGATATTGTTGTGGATGTTCAAAAGCATTAATGTGCGACAAATTGCAGTTTATCAAATGTATTGAAAATAAAAAAAATATATAGTAAAAAATGTATTAAAAAAATATAAAACAGTAATTATTGAATTTGATGTAACAGGAAGAACAAACTGTCATTCTACCCTATATGAGGCTTCTTGCAGCCATTTTTGTTCAATTCACACTGTTGAGTTTTACAGCAGCCATTGGTTAATGAAAAATCCTCCGGTTTTTAATTTAACAGTGAACCGCTGTTGGAATTTTTCTGTGTTTTTACAGGAAACTATTACAGTTTACTGAAACAATTAAAAAACAACAAGAAAAAATGGAAATAAAGTAAAATTTGCAGAGTAACATAATGGAGCCACACAAGTAAGAATCTGCTCCATAGTCGGACGTGAACGTTTCCAACATGATGAATCCACTCCTGTGTGCTGATGGAGGTCAGAGCACCACCTGACTCCATCAGGGACCTGGTGTGGTCACGGTGACGCTGCACCGGGACGCTCAGGTTACCGGCTGTGATCAGATGTCAGCCGAGAGAAAGAAAACCAGGATTCCTCAAAGCAGCGACGCGTTTTACACAAATTAGGTTCAGCCTCCAACCCCGCTGGAGCCACCTGGAGGTCTGTGAGGTGCAGAAAGGGACCGTCTAAGAAGAAGAAGACGAACAACAACAACAGCAACAACAACAACAATAATAACAATAATAATAATAATAATTTATTATAAATCAAGATGGAATTAAAATAAATAAATAAAGGGCAAAAGAAATAATAAAATGAACAATAAAAAAAAGTTAAAAATCAATTACAAGAAAAAATAGTCATGACAATAATAATAATAATAATAATAATAATAATTGTAATTTATTATAAATCAATACAATGACACTAAAATGAAATAGCGAAAAAATCGATAGATAAGATAAGATAGTGTCGCAAACAAGGGAAATAAAATAAAATAAAATAAAATA